TTCATTCCAATGGACAGAGTATGTCCCAGTAGGTTTAGGGTGCAATTGGGAGACTGACTCAGCACCTCAACATCCCACGTGACCTCATGCAGTGAGGGAATTTCCTCAGGGATGGAAGAGTGGAGTGAAGCCCCAAACTGTTATCACACAGCATTTAGTCTTTCCTGTTCTACCTTGGGATCCTCAAGGGCTTGGGAGAGCAATGCTCCATCACATAATATTCTAGACTGGAACCGTAGGCTGTTAACAGATCAAAGCATAGGGAAAAGATCTCATCAGGTGAGGATGCATTGCTTTTAGATTAATACTCCTAAATATGTTTTTCTAAAGTAATATCTTTGAAAAACAGAGATAATTAATTCCCGGGAGAGCACGGCCTTAGATAGAAGACATGTTCTTTACTAAAGTTCTCCATGCCTTCTCCACCTTCCATGATTCCTAAAGAGTGATCTTATTTTCGGGGCAGATAAGAAAGGGTATTTAGTGACAGAAATATCTGTGTCTCTTGTTTTGTAGCTGTAGATTTAGGTGCAGGAGACCAGAAGATTCTTTTTAATGCTGAAGGACTTTGAGATTAAAATCCAGCACAGCGTTTTCTTTTTCTTTTTGCTTTTTCTGAAATGAATTCCTTCAAATATGCTCACTAAGTTTATTTGAAGAAAATAGTGCTATCCTAACACTCCACTTTGTACAATATGGCCTAGTGAATGGGAACTTGAGAAATCCCCATTACCATGCTGCTTGAATAGCTACATAGAGGATTATATTTTGCCCCAAAATGGACATTCTCTTTAACTAAAAAGGCGACCACAGTAAGTTATCTAGACATTCTGATTTATAAATCCAGTTTTATTTCCATGTTTTTCCAAAGAGTTTGTAATTGAGATCATTGGAGCATTAATTTATATTTGATGAGTGATTACATTCAGATGTTTTAGGATATATTTCAGAAATAGTTGTTGTCCTAAAGTGTCAGTATGAAAATATTTACAGTTCCACAGGAAAAGGTTTGCAGTTTATGGAACTCTGAGTTAATTTCCAGGCTTTTCAGCTTGGATAGAGTTCAGTAGCTGGATGGGCTGCTGAGTTTCCTCCACAGTAGGACATAGGATGCAGTGGTCTGGGTGGCCTGAGTTGGTTTATGTAGAGTCGCTGATGTCAGTGAAAGAATCCTCTGGCTCTGATAATTTCCAGAGACAAAAGAGACAAAGTCTCACCTTGTACTGCTGGGAGGAAATATGAGATGAATCTGAGACTGAAAAGGGAAATTGGCAGTGGAGCTGAAATGAGGTACGTGAGCTTCACTGCCATCAAAACAGGAGAGCTCAGTCGGCTGGGTGTAGCTCAGTGAGAGGAAGGAGACACACAGAGAGAGAGAGAGAGAGAGAGAGAGAGAGAGAGAGGAGGGAGGGAGGGAGAGAGAGATTTGAATTCTGTTTTACAAAGGAATCTTTCAACTGTAAAACTGAGACTCAAAGGTGAATGCAGTAAAATATAAAATCTGCCAAGGAAAGAGCGCACCCCATGCAGTGCTTGGGAGACTTCTTCCTAAACTTCAGGCTCAGCGTCACAGTTTATTTTGCGTTTATGAGACACTCTCAGAAATTGTTCTTGCCAGGCACGAGCTTGTTTCTGCTGCAGTGAACCTGGTCCTAGTGATGACTCAGTTTCTTCATCTTTCAGCTCAGACTCAGCCCTCATTTTCAATATCTGTCAAAACAGATATTAATAAATATAAACTGAGTATGATTTCTCTGTCATCTTGTGGTTGTTTTCTTTTGTGTATACTCATTTTAAGGGTTCCTGTGAAAGGCAAATATTGTGATGGAAAAAACTCCATGGTGGTAGGTGCTACAAGACCTGGGTTATGTTGTCTTCTGTTGCTCATCAATTAGGTGTTGTGCCGTGGACTTTCTTTGTCTGGTTTTTAGTTTCTTCATCTTTAAGACACATATAAACTAATAGACTGGAGGTAGATGAGGGTTTTTGATGTGTCACAATTCTAGAGACTTATCCAGTGGACGGTTATGTTAGCAGCAGGTTCTACGTTTCACAGCTTGTCGTGCAGTCTGCCATGGAGCTCCTGGGGTCTCAGGTGGTGGCTTTAGTCCGCTGTCCAAACCCTGGCACAGCTGATCCCCAAAACTAAAGGGGATCTACACTGGGGAGGCTCTGAACCTGTGCTGAAGAGCTAAAGAGAGAGCCTGGATTTGAATACAGGCTTCTCTATTTTTAAAAAATTACCAATCTCACGGAATTCTTGTGAGGATTACATGAAACTGCAAATATAAACCATTTATTATAAGCTGAGCATATGCCATTAGCTAAATAACAATTCTTACATAGGAAGCAAGCATTTGGAAAATAAATCTCTGTGTGCCATTAGGAATGGGGAAAAGAGTTATAGGCAAAGTTTCATTTGAAAATGTTTGAATATATTAAATTTAAAAAAGTAAGAAAGTTTTCTCTGGGAAAAGTTTGTTGAGATTCTTGCCTCTCATTTACAACACGAAAATCTTTTTATGGAGGGTCAGGGTCCTTTTTTTGCTGTGAAAATATGTGTGTTAGAGGATTTGTGTTCTAATGAGTATACTCTTGGTCTTTAGACTACAACAGCGAAGCAAACTGATTTTGTGCTTGTGTCTGACAATCGCCACCGATTTCATCAAATTCAATATGATGCTGAGTTTTTTGTATGTTTGTGTGTGTGTGTTGAAAAAGTAGTAAGGTAAAAAGTACAATGGAAAACTGCTTGCTAAACATGTACAGATAAAGTCAAGGTTTGTAAGAAATTAAATTACAAAGGGAAGGAATTAAGATGTGTATCTCAAGTTTGAGGTTTTCTGTTGGTTTTGATCATAAACTCTAACCACTGGGACAGACCTTCAGGAAGTTATAGAAACATCGTAGTCCATTGTTGGTTCTCCCAAGAGCCACGTCCTCTAGAGATGAATTGGCAATTAGAAGCGCACTCATTTTATTCTCAGAGGTTCTTGTCCCTGGAAGCCTTCTCTAGTACTCTGGGCTATCAGGAAGGAAGGCCATGACCTGGGCTGGGAGCTCTGAGATCAGCTACTCAGTGAAGTATCTGTGGGATCATCTGGAACCATTTTCTTTTCCATGTCTCTCATTATGTGTCATGCACCAGGGACAATTCCTGTTCCTTCTCATGACATTTATGGTTTGAGAACACATAACAATGAATAAAGGGCATATGAGGTCCAAGAAAATGTGAGAATTAACATTGGTAAAATTTACTTTTCAATACTTTTGTGAAGTGTAATAGAATTATATGTGATATGCATTCTTCATGAAGTAAATGAAAATAGGCTTTGTACTAACGGGGCTCTGGTTAAATATTCAGAGCTGACTAACTGAATATCCATATAAATTATTGACTGGTAGTATGATGCAATGAGAGAATGATCATCTTTAGCTGGTAGACTAAATGTGATATGTAGGGTGGTCTGTGGGACAGTCACGCAGAGTCATCTGCTGCCTTGATCTGCTTTAAATGTCAAGTGCCTGCTCAGAACCTCACCGGTACTATGTTCATTTGGTGAATTGTTAACAGTTTCAAGAGCACATTACAGCACTACTGTAGTTATGTTTAGATACTATTCCCCTGGTTCCCATGATGTGCGAGTGTAACATGGCCCATATTGGTTGTCTAACATACTCTATTTGAATATTTTATTTGAAAATTCATGATTTTAAGAAAAAAAAACATAAAATTACATGTGTTTTCTTATAATAGAATTATTAATGTAAACTCTAGAAATTAGGAAAAGACATAAAAAGAAAAGATCTCCTCAATCTCACATCCTGAAGTAAATGCTCAAAATATATTAGTTAATTTACTAGTAAACTTCTTCCTAGACATATGCTTTTAATGCCTATGTAGTATTGGTGTAATTTAATTTTATTTTTGATTATCATGCAATACTCATTCCTAGTAGTAGAGTACAATGTGATATTTCAAAACATGCATATAATGTGCACTGATCCAGGCAGGGTAATTAGCATTTCTCTCTTTTTTAATTCTTTATTTGGCGTCTTTGAACTTTTCCATTCCAGATCTTCATAACATTGGTTACTGTGACCTGTGGTCGCCCAACAAGGCTGTATTACATCAGAATTACATGTCTCCCCTCCTTTTTTCCTCAGTAATTGCTGTTCTATGTGTTCGGGTTGATATTTTTGAGCTTCTACATATGAGAACGAACAGCATGTGGCATCTGATTTCCTCTCTCTAGATTGTTTCATTTAACATAACATCCTCTAGCTCTGTCTCCATTGTCAAGGATGAGGAAAAAGAAACTTGTAGATGTGTTTTAGAGTAGGTAAAACAAAACTATGGAAAATTTATGTGAAGACTTTAAACTTTATTCTCAAAATATACATATAAAATCTATAATATTCAGACACTAATTCCATACCTATTATCAGTAATGCTTTACCTATGGTATGCTTACATAATTATGATTAGGTTATACAGATTATTTCATGGCTTTAAGTCACATTATTTCATACATTCATTTTATTTTATTTATTTATTTTCTTTCTTGTTTTGGTACTGGGGATTGAACTTGGGTCCTTGTGCTTACAAGACAGGCAGCAGAACCACTAAGCTCAATCCTTGGCCCTCGTATATTCATTTAAAAGTCTTTTTGGTCTCCAAAATTTTCACTTGTAGTGATCACTTCATCCAATTTACCGATATTCACAGGAAGTTTCCAAATTTGTTCCCTGACCCTAGAAAAAGAAATTTATTTGTCCTGAGTGTCCTTTGTCTTGTAAGAATACTTTGAAGTGAGGGAAGAAAAAAACTAAGACAGTCAACTAAGGGAGGTCTTGATGCTCCTATGTGTAAAGAGTTTTGGGTTGACAAAGAGTAACTCATGAAGTGGTAGAGTAGTGAAAGGCAGAGTTTTGGTCAATTTGACTTTCCACGGTTCCTTTTTACCTTTCTCTTTTCTCAAGGTTCGGTATCTGTCTCTGCAGCTCTGCTCACCCACACCGACGCATGGAGAAGGGAAGGAACGTGACCGAGTTCATTTTAGTCGGCCTCACACAGAGCCCCCGAGCACAGAGAGCGGTGTTTGTGGTCTTCTTGGTCCTGTACACGCTGACGCTGTGCGGCAACCTGCTGATCGTGGTCACCGTCGCCAGCAGCCCTGCTCTGAGCTCCCCCATGTATTTCTTCCTCAGCCACCTTTCCTTGATAGACACAATTTATTCTTCCTCGTCAGCGCCCAAGCTGATCGTGGACTCCCTGCGAGAGAAGAAAGTCATCTCCTTTAATGGCTGCATGGCTCAGGTCTACGCAGAACATATTTTTGGTGCTGCGGAGATCATCCTGCTGACGGTGATGGCCTACGACCGCTACGTGGCCATCTGCAAGCCTCTGCACTACCCGACCATCATGAAGCACCAGCTCTGCGCCCTCCTGGTGGGAGTGGCCTGGGCCGGAGGCTTTGTCCACGCCACCATCCAGATCCTCTTCACCGTCTGGCTGCCCTTCTGCGGCCCCAATGTCATCGACCACTTCATGTGCGACCTGTACCCTTTGTTGAAACTCGTCTGTGCGGACACCCACACCCTCGGTCTCTTTGTTGCCGCCAACAGTGGGTTCATCTGCCTGTTGAACTTCGTCCTCTTGCTGGTGTCCTATGTGATCATCCTGTGCTCCCTGAAGAACTATAGTTTGGAGGGCCGGAGCAGAGCCCTCTCCACCTGCCTGTCTCACATTACGGTTGTAGTCTTATTCTTTGTGCCCTGCATATTTGTGTATCTGCGCCCGGTGACCACTCTGCCAATTGATAAAGCTGTTGCTATCTTTTATACAGTGGTGGCCCCCATGTTAAACCCTTTAATCTACACTCTCAGAAATGCGGAGGTAAAAAACGCAGTAAGGAAGCTCTGGAGCAGAAAAGTGACTTCAGAAAATAGGTGACCAGGATCATGGAATATTACAGAGAGCGTAATAGAAGTAATATTATCCAACTTTCTTGGTCTACAGATGAAGACATCAGCTTTAATAAGGATTTCTGCAGTGTTTTCAGATAACTAAGCATAGGAATGTAATCTAGGATTACTGTCTCCCATGTCATACTCTTAGTCAATAAATATTTACAAATGAACTGAATTTCTGAAATATCTCCATAAGCTCAAAAGTGTGAGTCTAGAATATTGCATTAGTATTAAAGTAATGTTAATGTAATAGCGAGTTCTTGCCTACTACTGGTGATTAATAATAACATGTTTAATGATATCCTTGAACTCTGGCTGCCACATCACTTCTTTCTTGTGCATTTATTTTTCATCCAGCATTGGCTGTGGAGAACAAGAGGTACTGTTTATCTATTGAAACGTTGTACACCATCACCAAGTGGGTTTTGTCTCAGGACAGAAGGTAGTTTTAATGTATGAAAAGCAATCAGTACAATGTACTGTATTAGAAGAAAGCACACGGTGCTCAGGAATGATAGCTGCTGTTGTCATTATTTTTCCTGATTCTCCATTCTCTGCCTCGCCAGGTACGTAATGTTTGAGCTTGTAGACGTGTTTTAAACAACACCCTGACCTGCAGGCTGCAGAGTAATTTCCGTGATAGGTGTGTTTACTAGGTTCCATATATATTTGTTCATGCCTTCCGTGTCCTGAAGGTATTTACGCAGGAAGAGAATTTGAAGTCTATTTGCCTAGGTGAGGCTTCTTCCATTAAGGAGCCCGTAGAATTCCTACATTCCACAAAACGTCAAAGGGAAGACGTGACAATCAACAAAGACTTTTGGTTTCCACATTTGGAAACTCGACTGGGACTTTTAGCCTCCATTCACCTTGCACCTGGAGCTATTACGCCGTGAGTGTGAATGCATGTCGGGTTCCAAGGTTCATTCCGATAGCCAGAATGTGTCCCCGCAGGGTTAGGGAGCAGTCGAGAGACTGATGCAGTACCTCACCCTCCCGCATGAGCCAGGCCGTGAGAAGGGACTCTCCTCGGGGATACAGAGCCGGGTAGAGCCCCACACTGCTACCGCACAGCGTAGCTCTGTGCTCCGGCTGCGGGCCCTGAAGAGCTCACAGAACAATGCTTTCTCGCAGGACAGTCCAGACCAGCAGTGCAGCTGTCAGGGGATCAAGGCACAGGGAAAAGATTTCAGCAGGCGAAGACTCATTGCTTCGAGATAAATACTCCTCAATGCGTGCTTCTAAGGTAAATGCCTTTAGAAATCAGAAATGATTAATTCACGAGGCAGGGCAAACAGATAGAAGGATAAGTCCTTTAATAAAGTTTCAGGACCTTCGCTACACACCCTGTTTTTCCGAGATGCTTTCTTGTTTTCAGAGCAGAATAAGAAGGGACAGTCAGTGTGAAGAGCATTTGGGTCTCTGTTTCCATAACTAGATTTAGGTGTAGGAGAAGATCCGTCCAGACCTAAGGACTATGAGTTTCAGATACAACTTAGTACTTTCTTTTCTTTTCGATGTGACATTCAGAGGCACTGGAGCTCTGAAAAATTTCTTTGATTTCACTGGATGAAATTGGTGCCATCTTGACATTTTCAGCATCCGGTCATACTGTGTTACTGGGGATTTGAGAAACACGAGTTATAGAAGATGCTACTGGAATAGCTATGGATAATCATGACTTCCTGTTTCTAAATACATTAGTTATTTTCCTTAACTAAAGAAGTAACCAGAGTACATTATCTCAAACCTCTGATTTTTAAATCTAGTTTACTTTGTTTATATGTGTCCACAAGGGGTTACTTTTGCCTTCTTTTATCCTACTTTCATTTGGGTTTAATATTAAAAAATTAATTTTTAACAGTCCATGTTTCCAGTACATAATGATTACCTTTCTCATGAGGAGTTGGTACTTGTACATAAAGAAACTGAATTCTTATTTTCAATCCCTTTCCCACGCCTCCTTCCTGGTTTCCTCAGTAAGCTTAAATATTGCATGGCCTATCTTATAGGGAAACCCATTTATAGATATATGCTGTACATAGCATTTGTAAATAAAAACGTTAAAAAATAACTTTCCAACATTTGATGAGATATTCACTTTTATATGTTTTAGGATATTTGCAGAGATATTTGTTCTTTTGTGGGAAGGGTAGGGGAAAGGAAATAAGGGAAAAGAAAAAAATGAGAAAAGGAAAAAATGGAAACAAAGTCTTTGTAAATAGGGAAGGGTGAAGAGGTGGAGGGAGGGCTGGGGTATGGGGAAAAACTAGAACCAAGACCTGTCATGTAAAGGTACAGGATCCCAATGATGAGTGTAACTGTACTGTATACTTACAAGTAGCAGTAAACTCAAAAAGAAAAAAAAAAAGAGAAATGTTTGTTCTTCTAAGCTGTCAGTATGGATATATTTATAGTTTATGGAACTCAGTTAATTTCCAGGCTCTTCAGCTTGGATAGAGTTCAGTAGCTGGATGAGCTGCTGAGTTTCCTCCACAATAGGACATAGGATGCAGTGGTCTGGGTGGCCTGAGTTGGTTTATGTAGAGTCGCTGATGTCAGTGAAAGAATCCTCTGGCTCTGATAATTTCCAGAGACAAAAGAGACAAAGTCTCACCTTGTACTGCTGGGAGGAAATATGAGATGAATCTGAGACTGAAAAGGGAAATTGGCAGTGGAGCTGAAATGAGGTACGTGAGCTTCACTGCCATCAAAACAGGAGAGCACAAGGACAGAAACAACATTTGAATTCTGTGTTACAAAGGAAAGCGCGCACCCCACACAGTGCTTGAGAATCTTCTTCCTAAAGTCCAGGCTCAGCCGTCACAGTTTATTTCGCGTTTATCAAGCTCTCTCAGAAATTGTTCTAACCAGACACGAGCTTGTTTCTGCTGCACTGAACCTGGTCCCAGTGATGACTCAGTTTCTTCATCTTTCAGCTCAGACTCAGCCCTCTTTTTAAAAACACACATAGCTAACTATGAGTTGAAAGGTAATTCTCTGTCTTCTTGGGGTGACTTGTATATGTATTTGCCTAAGGAAGGCAAATATGGTGGTGGAAAAGAAACCATATTCTTAAAAAAAAACATGGTATGTTTGGTGAGTACTAGACCTGGGTTATGACCTCTGTTGCTCATCAATTAGGTGTCGTGACGTGGACTTTCTTTGTCTGGATTTCAGTTTCTTCATCTTTAAGGCATGTATAAATTAATAGACTGGGAGGTAGCTGAGGGTTTTGATTCACAATTCTGGAGCCTTGTCTGATGGAAGTCTGCATTAGCATCAGATTCAACTTTTCATAGCTTGTCGTGCAGTCTGCCACGGAGCTCCTGGGGTCTCAGGTGGTGGCTTTAGTCCACTGTCCAAAACCTGGCACTGCTGATCCCCAAAACTAAAGGGGATCTACACTGGGGAGGCTCTAAACCTGTGCTGAAGAGCTAAAGAGAGAGCCTGGATTTGAATACAGGCTCCTCATTATGGCTTGCACTGAATCATTTACCTCGAATTGCAGCTTACTTGTGTTCAAACTACAAATAAAAGTGCACCAACTGATAGCAGTTTTATGAGGATCAGGCGAAATGTACATATAATCCAGTTAGGGTAATATGAAGTAGATGCCATGTACTAATGAAAATTATTACATATGAATATGTCACGGAAAAATGAGTCTCTACATATTACTAGAGTGGGGAAAAGCAGAATACACTGAAAGTTTTATTAAAAATATTTGAGTGTGGGGAATTTAAACAAGGAAGACAGCTTTCTCTGTCCGGGAAGAAGTTTAGATTCTTGCCTCCTAGTGTTAGGGCCCTTATATAGAAGATCAGCATTTTCCTTCTTTTCTGCCAAAATATGAGTATTAAAGATTTGAGTTCTAATGGCTACCTTCTTGATCTTAGGACTAGAACACAAAAGTGAAGCTGATTTTGTGCTTTTGTCTGCCAGTTAACAACAGTTTGATCAAACTTGGCATGAGACTGAGTTCTTTGTATTTTTGTTTCTGTGTAGTGTATGCAAAAGGGAGGGAAGGTAAAAAATTATAAAAAATCTGTTCTTTAAATATATTCAGATAACTTCACAGTGTGTAAGACACACAACTAATAGGTGCAACAAGATAAGTGAGTGAAGTTTGGGGTTTTCTGTCTGGTTTTGATCATAAAATCTAACCACTGAGACAGACCTTCAGGAAGTTATAGAAACATTGTAGTCCATTGTTGGTTCTCCCAAGAGCCACGTCCTCTAGAGATGAATCGGCAATTAGAAGCGCACTCATTTTATTCTCAGAGGTTCTTGTCCCTGGAAGCCTTCTCTAGTGCTCTGGGCTATCGGGAAGGAAGGCCATGACCTGGGCTGGGAGCTCTGAGATCAGCTACTCAGTGAAGTATCTGTGGGATCATCTGGAACCATTTTCTTTTCCATGTCTCTCATTATGTGTCATGCACCAGGGACAATTCCTGTTCCTTCTCATGACATTTATGGTTTGAGAACACACAACAATGAATAAAGGGCATATGAGGTCCAAGAAAATGTGAGAATTAACATTGGTAAAATTTACTTTTCAATAATACTTCAATGTTTAATTGAATGGCACATGTATTCATCAAGTTAATAAAAATAGAGTATGTATTAAATGGATTCTAGCTGAGTATTCAGATTTGACTGAATGACTACTGATATACCTTATTATTATTTTTTTTTGAGTCAGGGTCTTGCTCTATAGTTCAGGCTGGCTTTCAACTCATTTTGTAGCCCAGTTCAGCCTCAAACTCATGGTGATCCTCCTGCCTCAGCCTCTCAAGTGCTGGGATTGCAGGTGTGCACCACCATGCCTGGCTTCGACATACCTTATTAATTTTTTTTGAGTAATTTTTTTTTTGCAGTACCAGGGATCAAACTCAGGACCTTGTGCTTGCCAGGCAGGCATTGTGCCACACTGAGCTACAACCCCAGCCCTGACTAATGCATTTTAATGCCACTGTCCGTAGCTGGTAGACTAATGGCGACACGTAGGATGGTCTGTGGGAGTCATGGCAGTGTCATCCCCGTCCTCATCTTCACTGAACGTCTGGTGCCTGTTCAGAACCTAATCCTATGCTGATTGGTGAGTTGTTACCAGGAGTACTCTGAGCACATTTAATTATATTCAGGTACTATGTGAATTGGATTCCTAATGATATATAATGTAAAATTTCTCTGTTTATTCTGTTTATTTCTCTTACTTAATTAAAAAAGTCACAGTTTCAGTTTGAGGGCTCCAAAAAACCCTGTGGCAGTTATATATGTTTTTCTGGTCATAAAATTTACAAAGCAAACTAAAGAAATTAGGAAAATACCAACAACATAAAAAGAAATATCACCCTTTGTATCATATCCTGACATAATTGCTCTAGGTATATTAATTAATTTACTAATAAACTTTTCTATACATATGCATTTAATGGCTATGTAGTATTAGTATATTTTCATTTTCTTTCTTTATTTTTTCTAGTGTGTAGGATCAAACTCAGGACCTTGCACTTGCAAGGCCACTGAGCTAAATCCTGGCCCCTTTATCATTTTGGTTTTGACTGAGATGTAATAATTGCACGCACTAAGGGTTACAATGCTGTCATTCAACACGTGCACACAGTAGACCCTGATTCAGCCGAAGTAATAGCAATTTCTCCTCCTTTTCCCTCTTCGTGCTTGGAGACTTTGTGATTGTCTAATGACCATCAAACAGGCAACAGCTTAGTGCGAATGACGGCCCCTCTCACATCTGCATGTTTCACATCTTTACTTTGGTAGCTCTTATCCGACCACCCTCTGTCTGCCTGCTGCCTTTCCCCTGCGTCTCCCAGTCACTGCTCCACACGTTCAGATCTGTGTCCTTGAACCTCCATGTTTGAGAGAGAAGAATGTACGGTATTTGTCTGCCTTTCTCTGGCTTATTTCACATAACACCATGCCTTTTAGTTCTATCTGCTTGGTGAGGGAGGATGTGAAGCACAGGGAACTTATGTACATGTGTTTTAGTGTAGGTGCAACAAAACCTATGGAAAATTACGAAGATTATGATTTTGAACTTTATTATTAAAATATACATACAAAACCTATGATCTTCAAAGATGAATTCTATAGCCATTATTGTTAAATTTTTGTCTCTTGCATATATGCATACTTATAAAGAAGTTGTACAGATGATTCCATGGTTTTAGTTCACATCATTCATGCACACATATGTGTATATATATATATTTGTTTTGTTATTCTCCAAAATTATTATTTCCAACAATTGTTCTATCATATGGATGTTACAATGAAATTTTGCCTTTAGTGCTTTAATCCTAGGAAGTGAAATCCACTTCTTGTAGAGATGTCCTATGTCTTATAAGAATATTTTTGAAAGCAGGAAAATAAAAGACTAAGACAGTCAACTAAGGGAAGTCTTGATGCTCCTACGTGTAAGAGTTTCGGGTTGACAAAGAGTAACTCATGAAGTGGTAGAGTAATGAAAGGCAGAGTTTTGGTCAATTTGACTTTCCACGGTTCCTTTTTACCTTTCTCTTTTCTCAAGGTTCGGTATCTGTCTCTGCAGCTCTGCTCACCCACACCGACGCATGGAGAAGGGAAGGAACGTGACCGAGTTCATTTTAGTCGGCCTCACACAGAGCCCCCGAGCACAGAGAGCGGTGTTTGTGGTCTTCTTGGTCCTGTACATGCTGACGCTGTGCGGCAACCTGCTGATCGTGGTCACCGTCGCCAGCAGCCCTGCTCTGAGCTCCCCCATGTATTTCTTCCTCAGCCACCTTTCCTTGATAGACACAATTTATTCTTCCTCATCAGCGCCCAAGCTGATCGTGGACTCCCTGCGAGAGAAGAAAGTCATCTCCTTTAACGGCTGCATGGCTCAGGTCTACGCAGAACATATTTTTGGTGCTACGGAGATCATCCTGCTGACGGTGATGGCCTACGACCGCTACGTGGCCATCTGCAAGCCTCTGCACTACCCGACCATCATGAAGCACCAGCTCTGCGCCCTCCTGGTGGGAGTGGCCTGGGCCGGAGGCTTTGTCCACGCCACCATCCAGATCCTCTTCACCGTCTGGCTGCCCTTCTGCGGCCCCAATGTCATCGACCACTTCATGTGCGACCTGTACCCTTTGTTGAAACTCGTCTGTGCGGACACCCACACCCTCGGTCTCTTTGTTGCCGCCAACAGTGGGTTCATCTGCCTGTTGAACTTCGTCCTCTTGCTGGTGTCCTATGTGATCATCCTGTGCTCCCTGAAGAACTATAGTATGGACGGCCGGAGCAGAGCCCTCTCCACCTGCCTGTCTCACATTACAGTGGTTGTTATTTCCCTTGTGCCCTGCATATTTGTATATATGCGCACAGTGACCATTCTTCCAATTGATAAAGCTGTTGCTGTCTTTTATACAGTGGTGGCCCCCATGTTAAACCCATTAATCTACACTCTCAGAAATGCGGAGGTAAAAAATGCAGTAAGGAAGCTCTGGAGTAGAAAAGTGACTTCAGAAAATAGGTGACCAGGATCTCTGAGCATTACACAGAGAGACAGAGGAAATCTAGTCCAACTTGAGCTGTAAACAAAGATGGCAGTTGCAGTAAGGAGTCAGGCAATACTTTCGGATAGCTAATTAAGCAGTGGACCAGAAACAAACACTAATAAAAAAGACAAATAATCTCCTATCTCACACTCTTATCATCACAACCTATTGCTTCTTTGTCACTAAACTGATAAAATAAGTGAAAATTAAAACTTACCCAGGAGCTAAAATGTGTGAATCTAGAATTTTTGTATTGCTATAATAACAATCTTATGATGTAGTATCGAGATGCTTTTCCCACCAATGATTGAAATGAACATGCTAATGATATTCTTTTACTTTGGATTGTGGCTCCCACATAAATTCTTTCTTGTGCGTTTTTTTTTTTTTTTTTTTTTTTTTTTTTTTTTTTTTTTTTTTTTGTTTGTGATGGTGTTTTTTTTTTTTTTTTTTTTTTTTTTGTCAAGCATTGCATGAGCAGTGAGAAGTGGTAGTGTTTGTCTAGTGTCTACATGACTGGCATTGCACCAGCCAGAAGCCAACCTTTCCTGCTTTGCACAGGGAATGCTTTACATACAGTTAATTTCATCATATGATTAATGATAATGATGTAAAGAACACTCTAGGACTGAAAGTTGTACATCTAAGAAAGGTATGCAGTTTGGGGGCTGGTCCTCCCCCAGGTGGGGATGCTAACGTTCTGGAAAGTTGTAATTGTTGTCTGTTGAATGGTAAAGTTCATTTTGTTTTAGTTACCAGTAGCAGGACAGAAGCTGGCACACAAGAAACCTGACTGGTGCTGTCAAACTGGGAACCCCAGCTTGGGATGATGCCGGGATGGCGAAGTGGTCCTGGTGAAAGAGGGACCTTGGCTTTGGTTGGCGGACAGGCTGGGGTGCGGCAGGCTCAAGACAGAAACTACCACAGCACAGTGCATATCGGCAGAGTTCGGAAACTGAGAGATGGGGCGCTGGTGAGATTCACTGAATCGGTCTCCAGAGAGGTCCCTGAAGTTCGGGGAGAAACTGTCCATGAAGATGTTAGGAAAGCTCAAAGGAAATGGGCACCATTGGATATCTTGCCATGTCCCTCCAAACACACACGTGACTGATGCACACATTGCATCTTTCATTTTCTACCACACATTTTCCAGGATAATCAAGCTCAGTTCAGCATGATTCAGTCCCATATGATGTTTATAGTAGAACTGTGATAGTCTGAGACATCACTCCTTACCCTACACCCTTCGTACTGTTACACATTTCTAAGTGCAAATGGTTGATAGTACTTAGTTTCAGGCTTTTTTTTTTATATTGCAAGGCCAAAAATTGAATAAAATAGCTTGGGTTTTGAAAGATTTTGTATGACACCATTAGCTGTATGGCGGTAGCTTCATCCTTTCATTCAAGATACATAGACAGAGGATGAACGATTACTTGGAAGTAGCTTTGTGGAACAGATTTTATTATTATTATTATTATTATTATTATTATTATTATTATTATTATTATTAACTTATTTTCTTTTATTTTTTGGTACCGGGGATTGAACTTGGGTCCCTGCTTTGGCAAGGCAGGAGGTGGAACCACTGAGCTAAATCCCGGGCCCTAAATATTATTGTTATGTAAAGATTTCACTGAATTTCACATTCATGAAGTGTAGCACTCTTCCAAATGTAGAGGATCTTGTCTCTGATCCTTTGTAAAATAGGTTGCTGAGTCTCTAGGAGCCAGACTGTGGAAACAGACTGGAAAGATGAGGTGAAACAGGAAAGAGACAGCACCAGGGACCGAAGGTGAATGGAGCCACCATGTCATACAAAGGTAAGATGCACATTAAGCTCACAGTACCGATAACCTAACCCCATGGTACACAACAAATGTCGGAGCAATAGGTAGAAAGTGGAGCCTGGAGCAGTAGGGTACAACTCTAGAGTGTCATCAACTTATCCGATGGTTGTGAGGAAATTAATACATATGACCAGACCACTTCTACCGGAAGAGATCGATGAAACTGGGGATGTGTGTTATACTTCGTTCACTGAGCCTGTCCAGATGGTCGCAGACAAACAACCTTAATAAAGTGCAATCTTCAAAACTGAAGATATTTGTCCTAACAGTTCATATATTTACAGTAAAAAATAAGTACGTAGTGGTGCAATCACTGAGTGTTGTCTTTGTATCTAGCTATTCTACTAAGTAGAATCTATCAATTAAGTCTAGAAGTTTTTTGGCAGAATTTTTTGGGTCTTCTATGTAGAGTATCATATCATCAGTAAATAGTGACAGTTTAACTTCTTCCTTTCCTGTCTTTATTCCGTTTATTTCATTCTCTTGTCTAATTGCTGTGGCTAATGTTTCTAGAACTATATTAAACAGGAGTGGTGATAGTGGACATCCTTTGTGTTGTTCCTGATTTTAGTGTGAAGGTTTGCGTTTTTGATCATTTAGAATGATATTGGCTGCTGGTTTTTCATAGATAGTCTTTATCAAGTTGAGGTAAAGACCATTTATTCCAATTTTTGTAGAGTTTCTTTTTATCATGAATGGGTATTGAATTTTGTTGAATGCTTTTTCTGTATCTGTTGAGAAGATATTATGGTTTTTTTCCTTGGCTTTGTTGATATAGTGTATTACACTTATTGATTTACATATGTTGAACCATCCTTGCATCCCTGGGATAAATCACACTTGGTCAGGGTGTATGATTTTCTTGATGATCTTCTGTATTCTGTTTGCCAGTATCTTATTGGGGATTTTTGAGGCTTGTAGGCTCTCTTTTTTGGTTGGGTCTTTCCCTGGTTTTGGAATCAAAGTAATACTTGCTTCCAGGAATGAATTTGGATGTGTTGTTTCCCTTTCATTTTCATTGAATATTTTAAGGAATAGTTGTGATAGTTGTTCTCTAAATGTCTTGTAGAACTCAGCAGTGAAGCCATCAGGACCTGGAATCTTCTGCATTGGTAATGTTTTAATTATATTTTCAATTTCACTGAATGTAATTGGGGTGCTTAGACTTTTTATATCTTCTTTGTTCAACTGTTGAATTTCATATGTATCTAGGAATCTGTCCTTTTCTGTTGTATTTTTCATTTTATTAGAGTACAGGTTTTTGAAGTAGGTATTGATGATCCTCTGGATTTCTGCTGGATCTTTTGTGACTTCACTTTTTTCATTCCTAATTGCATGAATATGAGCCTTTTCTTTCCTTTTTTGATAAGGTTGGCTAAGGGTTTATTGATTTCATTTATTCTTTATTTGATAACTTGTCAGATTCATGATTTATATGGATTTTCTTCTACTCTTTGTGTGGCTTTTTTCCTCTCTGTTGATAATGTCCTTTGAGGCACAAAAGTTGTTTATCATGAAGTAAAATTAGTCTATTTTTTCTTTTGTTGCCTGTACTTTTTCTGTCAAATTGAGGTCATTTTTCCCCAACTGTCATCTTTTATTGTTGAATGCACTTTTCTTCCCTGAGAAAAGTCAGCTGACTGATGTAAATCCTAACAGAATATGTTTGTCCTTTCTATTCTTCTCATAGTGGCCTTTAACCATGTTAAAGTAACTTGGTTTTCTTTCTCTTGGACCCAAAGGAGGCCGTCAGCATCTAGCTGGGGCGCCAGGGCAGGCAGAGAGCTCCTATCTGGACTTGACACAGCTCTACTATCTGTGAGCTGTAAGACACTGAACAAGCTGGGTGGCTCTCAGAAATTCCATTTCATTGTCTGTAAGTAGATGCACATTAGGATTTAATTTACACAGCTTTGTGAGGGTTAAATGAGTGTGTGAAACAAGTACAGTGCCTGGATCCTTGTGTTAAGAAGCCTCAAGGGTACATGTGAGTCTTTCTCTACTCAGTATTACTGAGTCTGGTTCAGAGTGTATGAACAGGGTGAGGCTCTGGTATAACACACATCAATGACTTAATCCTAATCTGCCACATGTTCTGGTGTTGATGGGTATTAGAGTTAGATACAGAGGCCAGAATGTCCGAAGACCCTGAAACCATCTAGAAGAGCCTTTCTTGGAATGAAACCTTAGGAAAGAGTAACATCATGGCAGGCACTATACAAATTTAGTAGCCATGACTAGTGAATAAGGAAATAAGAACAAGAATGAATTGTTTTATAACTTAATCATAATATCCTTTGAGCCAAAAATATTTAAACAATATTGAAAGTTATTCCTTGCTACACACTGTTGTAATTACATAAAATAGCAGTGCACGAAACAGCACACAGCATTTCTCTCACAAGGGTTATCATCAGGGAAGATATAGACATATGATAAATGAATACACACACACCAGTCTCTAAAAAAAAAAAAAAAACACCTTCAGGAAAAATTAGGTAAAATGAGAGACTGAAAGTATGTCATTGTAGACCGTGAAGAAAGTCCTCTCTGATTTCTGTGCAGAAGCATGAGGCAATTTTGAGGAACCTACACAGAGTCCTTTGAGAATATGTATTGGAAACACAAACACAAAATGCAAAATCATGAGAAGAAAATGTGCTCATTATGTTGAAACAACAAATGACCACAAGTTAGAATGGCGTGAGAAACAAAGGTAGAAAACTTATAATTAAAATTTAATTGTGCATATTGCCTATAACTGCCTATCTTCATCATTGGAATTTAAGGTCTATGAGTGATACAGAGAATTTCTGCAAATAATCTAAAAACCTACAAAATGTTAGGGAAATGAAAAATGACCTCTGCTGTCTGTAACAGCAATCAGTTTTGTGTAGTTCAAAATTAACAGACACCAGAGGCATTGACCATGAAGTGGGACATCTGGCCTCATACCCAACCTTGAACACCCCCTTCCTGTGCACTGGAACAGATAGGTAGATGAATCTTAAGGTAAACTCATTAACTACAAGGAATTGTTACATCTAGGTTTAAGTTGACAGTCCTGTTACTGTAATTTGTACATGGGTAATGTGAACTGAGGAAGTGAAATGTACCCACCTGAATGAGATCACAGCTGTAAGACCTATAAAAGAGGAAGCTGCAACCCAGTGGAAGGTCGAGCACTGGCATTGCTCTCAGTGCGATTGACCTTT